TACATGCACGCTACTGTGCATTTATGGAGGTCAGAGGACAACTTTTGGGAGCTGGCTCTTGCCTTCCATCGTGTGGGTCTCCGGGACCAAGCCCAGACTTCAAAGACTGGCAGCAAGCACCCTTACCTGCTGAGCCATCTTACTGGCTCCTGATTGTGTTTTCTGAAAGCAACTTTCCATTCCTAGAATACCCTAAGCATTCTAGGGTTCCAGCTGCTTCTCTCCTTTGAACCACCACAGTCAGGCAGAACTTTTGGCACAGTGAGCACTGCTAATATTTGTAGAACAGACGGCCTCTCAGGTCTCTGCTAATGTAGATTTCCTGTGATCCCATAAATAGCCAGGAGCCAAGGGCAGGAGAGTCATCCAGAGTCCCCGGGAGAAGTACCTGCGCCAGGCAAGCCCTGCCCACAGGCGCAGGCAGCTTCTCATAAGGACGGCAGTGATGAACTTGGTCCACAAAGAGTTCCAAACCCACAGTGAAACTGAGGCTGCGATGGCTCAGTTAGCATGTGCTCTGGGGATGGAGCTTCATCACGGAGCCGGCCATTCTGTGCACGCTCGTGTGGGTACTGTGACAGCCACGGCTCACGGCAGTGCTCTAAGGAGCTGGGAATTAGGCTCAGTAACTCTGTGGCCCCCATCTGTCCAATAGCAGTTAACAGGCTTGCCCTTGGCAGTGGCCAGGCCCTTGCTCACTATCCTTCTGTACACACCCAGAGAGGGATAGCCAGACCTGACATTGTCACAGCTACACCCCCATCACAGCTACACCCTATCACAGCTACACCCCCATCACAGCTACACCCCATCACAGCTACACCCCATCACAGCTACACCCCCATCACAGCTACACCCCCATCACAGCTACACCCCCATCACAGCTCCCTCCCCATCATGTCTATGGTGCTACCCACTGTAGCTTGGCTCTGAGACAAGTAAGCACCCCAAGTATACCTCTTCCCAAGCTCACACACAGGGAACAAGTATCCAGGAGTCCCACACATAGACATCGGACCCACATCACTCCCAGGGCTTGGGGAATGCTGAGGTAGAACACAGCAGGGCTCTCAGCAGGCCATGTCTTCAGGCCACACTGGACATGCCATACCATGCCTGACAAAGGAAATGTCTTTATGGTTCAAGAAAAGTGAAGAACAGGGTGGAACGGGATTGTCCTGCAGTAAGCAGCCCATGTGCTCTCAGGTAGGGGGGGCCCTCTGGTCACCTCAGGGAAGAGGCGCTCGCCGTGCCTGGGACAGGATGACAGCAGCTCCGCTGCTGGTTCCAGCCCCTCCCTCCACGAGAGCCTGTGCCCTTCCAGCTGCTGAGTTCATGGAGCCACTGCATCTGGTGTGGCCTCAGCTCAAAATGAGTCCCTTTCCGTCCTAGCAACTGACAAAAGTACATCTTCTCCATCCAAGAGGGATGAGACAGGATGTTTTCCTAGTAAGCAATACCCCGTGCCTTGGGAGGCACAGCAGACCTACACATGCCAAGCACGAGTTAGAGGCCACAGGTTTGACATGTCCAGGCCAACAAAGAGAAGCAGGACCTAGGCCTGCCTTGGGTAATCAAGGTACAGCCCATGAGCTGAGATATGGTTCCCAGTTCAGATCAACATTTACAATCAAAGGCCCTAAATAAAAGTCATTCTCACGTGGTGGAGAATGCAGCAACAGCGGAGTGATAAGTCAGCCATGATTTCCGGGGGCATGAGTGCATCCCTGCCGGAGTCAGCCCACAGGAAGGTACCTGGACCTTGCACGTATGATTTGTGGGATTTGTGGGATGTAAGGCCTAAGTGAACATGGAACCACAACGCATGTTCACAATCTGAAATGAGCCCTTTCTGATTGCACAGAGATGTTGAGGGGAGACTACAGACCAGAGCCAGGAAGAAGTGGCGGCCTCAGGCCAGCACAGTGCCAAGCAATCAGCTCATTATTATTAATCAGCTACATTATTGCAGCCACAGCAAGGAAGGCCAAGAAATCTAGAGTATTCAGACAGAGCAGGAGCTGGGGCTCAAGACATCCAGACTTCAGATTGGGCAGAGAAGGACAAGGTGGGTGGGTAATAGCTACTGTGGTCTGAGGCTCTGTTCCCACCCCCCACCCCCGCCTAATTGTGGAAGCTGGAAGCAGGTTCACTTAGATGTTGCCTGTGTGTCTTACTTGCTGTGGGGTCAAGGGAGAGAGTCCAGCTGGGCTGTGGTGGCATTGGAACAACATCTAGTACTACTCAGACCAGACATGGCCCTGTCCCCAGCTCCTGGCTGCAAGGGTAAATAACTCAGGGACTAAGTCTAACCCATCCCCACACTTCCTGGCCTTCTGCTTCCTTTGCCAGACGAGGCTCTGCCACGGTTCTCTGCGCTGCAGTGGTCAAGCTGGAACCCTAGGTGGACTTCTAGAACACAAGGTGACAGGAGACGTGGCGGGGAGGGAGCCTGAGATGCTCCGTCTCGGTCTCTGGGTTTCAGTGGTACTACCCAGTCTACGTTTCCAGTCCCGAGTGCCTCTCTAACTCAGCGGGTATCCTGAGTTACCTCTACTGCACAATTACCACACCGCTCACCTTCCCGCGCCCATCTGACTCCTCCGAGCCATTTCAGTTGGCCTGGACTCCACCACGCTGCCGCAGCTTGCAGGAACTGCAGAGGCAGAAATGATTCGGTGGCTGACAATCTGACAAATTCCTAAAAAGCCTCGCTAATAACCAACTCACTGAGCTGTAAGGACGCTGCTTTATCTAGAGCTAAGTCCAGTAAGTCCTCGGATAACTCAGAGTGCAAACCCACCTGAGGATGGTAGCTGTACTGACAGAACCTATGGATGAAAGCGAGCAGGTCAGCCTGATTCTCCATCCCTGTCAGAACACCCTGGAAAGAGCCCAAGCGGCTCCGGCTCAGAAGCACAGAGAAGAGGTAATTACAGCTGCAGCCCCACTGTGCCTCCCAGAAGTGAAAATAAGCTAAAACTTTGAAATCAAGGCATCGCTCGGATAGCAGTCCTTCGTTACAAATGAGGCGCTGTTACTTGTCCGCCATCGTCACAGTTCCTTGCTACTAGCTACCCCTTACCACGTCCCCGATGGTCTATCTCAGCTGCTTGGGTGGGAGAACTATTTCCTTAGTCTCATCGAAAGTTCATCAGACCGACTGCTGTTCTCTAAAATGACAAGGGCCACAAAGTCCCTGCCTGAAAAATGTCAGGAAATGCTTCTCTGCTTGTCAGAGTGAACCTTGAGCCAACCCAGCAAGTCAGGACCTGCCAGTGTGGGGACAGGACCAGCACCCGCTTGTTACGCTTCCCCAGAATATACCTCACTACCTGGACCTGGACCTCAGCTATAAAAAGTGAAGACAGTTTGGGTCCTCTGCTGAAGGAGGAAGGGCTGTGGAAATTGGAAGAGAAAGAGAGGACCAGGAGACCACTCAGCTTCAGCTCTAGACATCGCGGGGCTGAATAAAAGCCCAAAGGGTACATTGGGAGGAAAGCTGGGGCCTGAAACAGACGTGGAAGCCCTGGCAGGTCTCACGTCTTACCTGGGGGGTCGTCTAAAGGGGGCGCTACTGCTCAGCTCTCAATTCTTTACCTCCTGTTGTCTAGGAAAGCTGACCTAGAGGCAGAATCCACAGGGGACCACAGACAGTTAGAGAAGGAGCGCCCAGCCAAAGGGATGCTGCAGGGGCACTAGGTCAAGAGCTGCAGGGTTTCTTTGGTTTGGTTTTTTGGTTTTTGTTGCTGCTGTTTCTTTCTTTGTTTTGAGACAGGGTTTCTCTGTGTAGCCCTGGCTGTCCTGGAATCTGCTCTGTAGACCAGGCTGGTGGTGAACTCAGAGATTATCCTGCCTCTGCCTCCTGAGTGCTGGGATTAAAGCCATGTGCCACCACTGCCTGGCAAAAGTTCACACACACACACACACACACACACACACACACAAAACAAAAACTAGAAGACAAACTCTGGTTTTTATAAATACTAGAAAATAAATACTAGAAAATAAAAATAGAGATTTGTGTAGACAAAAAGGGGATTTTACCTTCAAACACACCGAATATCAGGTGATAGCATAGAAAAATAACTCACACAGTGGACACAGACAGACAGACAGACAGACGACTATAATGCAGAGGTTTATTTAATTTCAAAGACATGGGAGTACTTCTGCTGGCATTCCTTCATTCTCTTTCCTCAAATAGTATGGCAAAAATACCGATAGGGAGCAAAAATAATGGAATGCCAGGAACAAAAAGTATCATAAGAAATACTAAGTCAAATATGATGGTACATGCCTGTCATGCCAGCTTGCAGGAGACTGAGGCAGGAGGATCACCTCTAGCTCACATCTCGCCTGGAGTACATAACATCATCCTACTCTTAAAAAAAAGAAAAGAAATACTCCCAAATTATTTAATGAAAACCAATTCCCATGTCTAATAATGCCAGAACCAGATTAGAGGAAATACTCATTGATTACAACGGTGGAATAAACCAGCACCCTCACATGGGCTGCAGGAAAGAAGCTTTGGGAAAGCGCTCTGGTCACAGGCATGCACACAGGGCCATACAGGGTTAAAAGCAAGACCTGTAATATTACCTATAGGAATCTACCCCAAGGAAACAGTCCAAAGGAAGCAATAGGTATATAATCAACAACTGAGGTTATTCACTACATGGGAATGCTTAGTATCTGCAACAGCAAGAAACTGAAGACATCGTAAAGAAATTAAGATCACGATGGCCCTCAATGTAATCACTGCACGAGCATTAAAATGTTAATTAGGAAGACAGTGGGGTAACAGGGAAATCTGCTTTTCACTCATTTGTATGATTTTAGGTAGAAAAGAAAGAGCAAGATGCGTGATTATGCAGACATTATGGTAAGCTCTGGGATAAGACAGAGCGCTGGGGATGCAGCCTTCCCCTCCAAGGTACCATACTGCTCTGGACAAAACCAAGGGAGGACGTCAAGACGGTCTGGTGGGGCAGTACCTTGGCTCCATCAACGCTGATGATCCGATAGCTGTTCCTGGTAACATCGTAGAAGTAGGACACAGTGACGGCCTGCTTGCTCGCGGGCACCCAGTTCTTCTTGGTGCTGGGGTCAATCTGGAAGACGTGCGCTCGCGTGGTGAAGATGGGCTGTTCTCTGAAACAGAACAGATGTGTGTAAGCCAATGGAACTTGACCTAATGTTTCAGTTATGATTTCTAGGCCACCCACCGTCTCAGACGACTTTAAATAGCTTGTCGGCAAAGATCCACCTGCCTGAGAACAATCAGAGCAGGGAGGAGGGAGAGCTACCCTGTGAGTAGGTTCTGTAGCCCACAAACCCGCACTCACTTAGTGGCAACCTCGAGGCTGCCGGGCACCTGGCCTAATGAGCAATTGGTTTAAAATGAAACTCTTCATTGAGAGTTTTTCATCCCTGTCAAGTGTCCTGTTTTGTTTGTTCTGTTTTCTCTCTGACATCCTATTGGCATTTGTAGGGGTGAGGGTTTCTAATTAATCTTAGAAACATTTTAACAAATTTATTTTGGGAGATTTTGCATTAATTTTAAGATTTTGTAAACCATTTGAAGCTTAATGTTTCATCTGAGTATTTCTCAAATTTGAGGGAGTGTTTTGAAGGGTCGAACTATTTTATATCCTTGGAAGAATTGTCAGTTTGCTTTTGCAACTAGGAAGGGCCTTACAGCTCAGAGGAGCCTTCACAGTTTGTGCAGACCTTTCGTCTGGTTTAAGGTGTTTTGTGTAGACCTTCTGTCTGGGTTTAAGGTGTTTTGCGTAGATCTTCCATTAGGTTTACGCTTCACCGATCCCCTCTCCCCTCTGGTCTGAGGCTGAACTGCTGTCTCTTTCTTCCTATATGCCCGTGATCGTTTCCTGAGACTGCTAAAGATATTAGCACAAGTTAACACATCATCTATGTTTCTTTCTGTTTAGTAAAGAATTCAACCGGCATTACTAAGAAAGACTTTAAAGCTGGAATAGAATTTGCTACAGCCATACTCTGAGGGACTTGCCTAACAAAGCCACAGAAAAAATGAAACAGACTCATCACAAAATCTGCTTTTTGAAGAAAAACTTTATAGACAAACTATCTCAAAAATTCTTTTAAGTGCTCAAAATAAGACAAAAACGGGGAGGGAGACCAGCATGCAAAAATAAAGTGGAAAAAAAAAGACTATTATAAGTATTGATTAAAGACACAAAATGAAATCTGAAGGCTTGATTCTGGTTTAGTCAAATTAATTTTTTAAAATCCCAACAGTGTCAACAAGATGATAAATATGACAGCAATGTCAGAAGTTCAGAGGACAAGGAAGTCTCAGTGCTGTGCTCTCTGTGAGGAGATGCTGAGAAGAGTCTCTGAGCCCTGCCCCACCCCCTCCACCAACAGCACCTGCAGAAAGACTCATTATTACTGGAAACACAGATCTCAAGGGCAAACTTTATTCTAGGAAAGCAATTTACTCTTCGAGCCTCATACGAGGGATGTCAGAGAATATCATGGCTATGGGCACTGGGCTAGAGCAACACAGAAACTTCTGGAAGAGCACAGTATGAATACAGCACAACCAGAGCTGGTGTTCCTAAAGAGCAGCAGAGGCTGGCGTGCCTGCTCCTCTCTAGGCCCTGGGGGCAGGAAAGGGTGAGCGTGGGCCTTTCCTGCAATCACCCTCACGTTCACTCGCTTGGTTCCTCCCAAACCCACAGCCTTCCAGCGGCTGGGTGACAGCTGTGGGAACCAAAGGAAGATTCCGGCTGTACCATTTCACATCTGCTGTCAAGAGGCCAAGCTGTGCGGAGCACACACTCGTGGCTGTGATGCCGGGAAGACTGCCGTCTGGAGGGCCCAGCTGTGCCCCTCACAAGCAGGCAGTGTAGTTTCCTAATCATCAAAACACAACACGAGAGAGAAAACCACGTTCTCATGCAACAGTCTTCGTATGTGAGAGGAAGGAGGGATGAGCAGCTGTCACTACGGAGAAGTTGGTACATTAAATTATACCAAATCTCTGCTGCAGTCTCCTAGGACATTAAGCTGTAGCCCCTTTCAGGGTCGGAGCCCAGGCTTTTGAGATCGCTGATCCTGATCCCTCCCTGAGGAAGAGGGGCTGAGGCTGGGGATAAGCATGCAGCGTGTGGGCACTAGTTTGCTAAGCCTTCGTGATAGTTGGAGCTGGAGAGATGGCTCAGTGGCTGCTCCTCCAGAGGACTGGGGTTAATTCCCAGCAACCAAGTGATGGTTCACAACCATCTGTAATGAGATCTGGTGCCCTCTTCTGGCCTGCAGGCATACATGCAGGCAGAGCACTATACATAATAAATCAATAAATCTTTTTTTTTTTTAAAGATAACCTTCAGGATAGCAATAACCATTTTTACTAAAATTACTAGTTCCCAAGCTCCTGGCACCTGACTCTCTAATAAAGGACCTGAGCTCTCACCTATAACAAGGTAACTGTTATGGGAAGTGCTTTCCTTAGACACTATAAGGACTTGAAATACAATAGAGGACACGGTCCCCACAGCCAGCCTCTCTCCCCTAGAATGACAGAGTTAACTGCTGGTGGCTCATCTACTCCTGAAGGGTCTCCTACAACTTTGGGGGTCAACAGTGGAACCAAGAACCAATTCTGCGGATGCAAGGGATGGGAGGGGGGCTGAAAGGAGGCGGGGGTGGGGGGCTCTGGTCAGAGGAGGAGGAAGGGGGGGAAGGTAGGGGGGCAGCCTGCTGTGTTTCCCTCAGTGACTTTCTGTCTGTACTCTGTGCCTTAAAGCCGGCAGCAGCGGGGAAGTGCAGCCGTCAATCACAGCAAGATGTGGGGAGAAAGACCAGAAGGCAAGGTGACCAGAAGGCAGAGCTTGTGACTCCATACAGCCAGGGTAGCCCGCTGTCTGCTTGGCATGGCTTGGCACTCAGACCAAAGGCCCCATCTCCAAATCTGCCCTCTGAGACTGGGACTCTGAAAGACCTGAGTTGTCTTCAGAACCTCAACTAGAAATACAGAGGTGGGTCCATCTAGCACACCCATAGCCATGGTCACCACCATAGCCAGCCTTCTACAGGAAGAGGCCCAGGAGGGACACTGTTGGGACCTTCACCAGGCCCGTTCTGAGAGGGTTCGCTGTACCAAGAAACTGGGTTCTACTGAGGTCCTAGAGCTGCATTCCTTGGCCCTGAGGTCTCAGCAAATGTGGGTGGGGGTATATGTAGTGGGGGGGGGGACCTGGAGCTCCACATCCAGTCGAACTGAAGTTCTATACCCAGGAAGCCACCCACAGGACTGGGATTTCCACATGAATAACCCAATCTGAGCGTACTGGGGAGCTCTGAGCTATTCTGATATTCAAAAAGTCTAATGTTATTTCAAGAGGGGAAAAAAAAGAGGCCAGGATGAAAAGAACAGCCAGGCGTTGACATTTCCCAACTGCTTAGCATTCTGCATATGGGCTTTCTCATTTAGGATCACAATAGTCCTGTGGAGACAGCAGGTCCAGGTGGGGAGACTGACTCAGAATGGCCAGGAGACCTGCCTGGGTCACACAGTAAGCGGCAGACCTGGGAACTTTAACACCCTCTTAACCATGTCCTGTAAGAATAGTTAAAACAGTAGCAGCGGGCAATAGACAGTCTCTGGTGTGGTTCCCAGTGTAATGGCCTCCCCTCACAGGAAGGTGGGACGTCATTTGTTTCCGCCTTTGCTTGCTTGCTGGGGCCCAGGGATTTTAGGCAGGGTCTCTGTTAGTCCCCCACGGTCCTCCAACTTGTGAACGATCCTCTTACCTCAAACTTCAGGTTGGAATTTTAGTCTGACTCTTTCTGTTAACCAACAGAATATAGCAAAGGTGGTAGGTTGTCACCTGTGTGATTAAGTTATAGAGGATTGTAATTTGTTTTCAACTAACTCACCCTTGCTGGCTGTCCCGAATATTAGGAGTCCCACACTGTAAGACACCGAGAAGATTCTAGCCAGCAACCAGAGGAGAACTGAGGCCCTTGGTCCAATATCCCCAAAGGACAGAATTCTGCCAACAACCATGTGAGCTCCAAACCAGATCTTTCAGCAATGAAGCCTTCCCGTGAGACTTCAGCCCATCCCTGATTGCGGTCCCTGGCACAGGATGGCACCCAGCTAAGGACACCCAGATTTCTGCCCTACAGGAATTTGGTCTGTTTAAGCTGCTGCGTGTTCACTCAGCGAGATAGATAGCTAAGACACTGTCCCTCACAGAAAGTTTACAACACACCACACGGATAGCAATGGCCTCACTGTATCCTCCTGACAGCCGGGAGTGGACACGGTTACCGCATAGAGAACTCAGGGTCACGCACTGATGCCAAGCAACAAGAAGCGGAGAAATTCAGAGAAACAGACCCCAACTTTGACAGCTCATTTGGCCTCACCTGAGCAAGTTCAAGCGCTGTATCTAGGGCATGGCTGTCAGGTTCAATGTGTGCCCACATCAGAGTAAGCAAAGTCAACAGAATTGGGACTTCCCTACCCACCGGGGGCCACAGGCCCCTCCCAGCAGGGACCAGCAGAGCAGGGTGGGTCCCAGAAACCACCTTCAGCTCCAATTCCGTCCTCCTTTCTTTGGTGTGCGACGCTCAGGGAGTATATCTGAAATACACTCCCATTCCTTCACTGCGGCTTTAAATAGAAGGCAGATGTTTCCGGGTGGCGAAGTGCTTCTTCAGGCAGACAATATAACCCACTGTTCCCTTGCACAGGCTTTTAAAAGCTGAATAAACACCAATTGCTGCTCATTGAGCACATTTTGGAACCTGACAGTAATTGTCCCTAAGAATAATTAGACACTCTGTGCAACATATGCACGTTTGGAACACGAAACCGCTCGGCAGAGCCACCGCTTCAGCTCTGAACGGTCTCTGGCTCCGCGCGAAGTGATTCTGCAAAAGACCGGCACAATTACTTTTTTTTTCTTTTGCAGAAAAGAAAGAAAAATGAGGTTTTAACTTGTCATAATCTTTCACTTGCTCAGTGCCAGGCTGTTTTCTGACATAAATCCATAAAGCCTCGTGATTCTTATTTTCCAACTTCTGTTTGATTTGCATTGCAAAAAAAAAACAATTCAAAAATTATTTCTGCAGCTATTTAAACGTTTCAGAGTCTCATA